TGGGGGCCCTTCGGGGGATAGCGACGAAATGTGCCGCATGTTGCGGCCTTCTTGGTGCTGTGCTGGCACGGCGGTGGGACTCGCCACGATCGGCTGGATAGAAGTCACCCCGCTCACATCAGACGGATACACCCGTCCACTTGAGATCCGCCGCCGTGCCGCTGTGGCACGAAGTGGAGTGCCCCCAGGTCCCTTGCTCGGCCACTGAGCCTCAGTCTTCAATCCTGAGGACTATTGAGGGGACCTGGATCCCTAACTCTCAAATGCTCTTGGGCTCCTGACATGCCCCCCCGCGGCTCCCGGCGTCTTGTCGCGTAACTTTTTCGGAGCCAAAGAGGGCACCAAGACGGTCCAAGAGGGACCCAAATCACCGAGCCATCAGTCCAAGACGCCCAACATGGCCTCAAGACGGCCCAATATGCCCCGAAGGCGCCTTCGAACAGAACCCCGAGAGGCAAACATCTTGTATTTCCCTGAAGCATTGATTTTGGCGTTCTCGCCTCGTCGGCTTCCCGACGGTCCAAGACGGCCCAAGAGGTCCCCAAGGTCGCCACAAGGCGGCCTAAGAGACCTCCAAGAGCACCCCAACACGGCCCAAGAGAGCCCCGGGACAGCCCAAAAGGCCTCCAAGACGGCCCAAGAGGCCCCCAAGACGGGTCCAAGAGCGGGCCCAGACGAGGGACCCGAACGGACATTGCAAGCTCTCAGCCCCGAGAGGCCTCCAGGAGGCCCCAAGAGGCCCCCAAGAGGCCCCAAGACGCCCCAAAGAGGCCCCCAAGAAGCTCCAAGGGGCCCCCAAGAGGCTCCCCAAAGGCCCCCAAGAGGTTCCCAAGAGATCCCTAAACTGCCCCCAAGGAGCCCCCGAGAGCGCTCTGACGAGATCCCAAGGAGCATCCCTGAGGACGCTGACCCACAACCCACACACGAAGTCGATATCAGCAAAGCTGGGAGCCATCCACTCAAAACATCAGATCTTCGACTGAATACACCAAGTCGACCGAGATCCGCACCGCGCCCTTCGAGACGGAGTGCGCGTGTCCTCAGGTCCTCGGCCTAATCCTCTAAGCCTCGGTCCTCGACCCAGTGGGTCTTGATGGGGCCCGGACCCCACATTGCCAAATCTCCTTGGGCTTGCCGCGTGCCCTCTGGGCTCCCCCGCGTCTCCCCGCGTGACGTGTTCGGGCCATAGGGGGCCCAAGACGGGCAAAGAGAGCCCCAAGAGACTTCCAACATGGTCTAAGAGGGCTTCGGGACGCGTGAAGATCGCTCCAATACGCCCAAGATGGCCCCAAGATAGTCCAAGAGGCATTCAAGACGCCCCTAGAGGCGTTCCAGAGCATTCCCAAGAGGGCCCCGAGGGGCCAAAATCAGGTATGTCCCATAGGTTCTGCAATGATTTTGGCCTCCTCGACTCGAGCGAGGCCCTCAGGACCGCCCCAAGACGACCCCCAAGAAGCACACAGGAGGGCCTCCACACGACGCAAGAGGGCTCCAAGACGGCCCCAGAGGCGCCCAAGACGTGTCCAAGAGGGCCCAAAGACAGCCTCAAGACGGGCCCAAGTGGGGGAGCACGAATCGAAAATCCAAGTCTTGCGCCCCACGAGGCCCAAAGGAGGCCTCAAGGAGGCCACAAGACGCCCCCAAGGGGCCCCAAGAGACTCCCAAGAGGCCCCGAAGACGCCGCAAGAGACCCCCAAACGGCCCCCAAGAGGCATCAACACTGACCCCAAGAGGCACCCAAGAGGCGACATCCCAACGGACAGCCTAGAGGCCTATGACCCACACCCCAGGCACGATGGCGGGATGGGCCAAAGACCATTAGACATCGTCGGAGCGATACCTTCGACTTGAGATGGACCTCCTGCGCTCTCAAGGGGACACTGGCATTCGTTTCAGAATTCGCCTCCTCCCCACCCTCCTCTCCTGCTCACAATCCTCCTCCTCCTCCTCCTCCTCCTCATCAGCATCAGCATCAGCATCAGCATCAGCATCAGCATCATCATCATCATCATCATCATCAGCATCATCATCATCATCTTCATCATCAACATCAACATCATCATCAACATCAACATCATCATCATCATCATCATCATCATCATCATCATCATCATCATCATCATCATCATCATCATCATCATCATCATCATCATCATCATCATCATCATCATCATCATCATCATCATCATCATCATCATCATCATCATCATCATCATCATCATCATCATCATCATCATCATCATCAGCATCATCATCAGCATCATCATCATCATCATCATCATCATCATCATCATCATCATCATCATCATCATCATCATCATCATCATCATCCCACTCCTGCCCCTCCTCATCGTAATAATCATCTTTTCTCCCTCTCATCCACTTCGTCGTCGTCTTGCTCCTCCTCCTGCTCCTCCTCCTCCCCCTGCTGCTGCTCCTCCTCCTCCTCCTCCTCGTCATCACACACCCTCCCCCCTCCTCTCTCCTCCTCCTGCTCCTCCTCCTCCTCATCTTCCTCCTCCTGTCCCTCTTCCTCCGCCTCCTCCTCCTCCTCCTTCCTACTTCCACCCCGCACCCCCTCCCTCGTCCCCCCTCTTCCACCCCACCCCGTCCAGAGCGACTCCCCCTCTGGCCCTCCCCCCTCTGATCCTCCTCCCCCCCTCCCCCCTATTCCTCCCTTCTCGGCCTCCTCCTCATATTCCTCTTCATCCTCATATTCCTCCTCCTCCTCATCCGCCTGCTCTCCCTCCTCCTCCTCCTCCTCCTCCTCCTCCTCCTCCTGCTCCTGCTCCTGCTCCTGCTCCTCCTCCTCCTCCTCCTTCTCCTCCTCATCATCCTCCTTACCCTCTCTTTGCTCCTCCTCTTCCTCTTCATCATCTCCTCCACCTGCTCCCACTCCTCCCCCTACGCTTCGATGTCGTCCTCCTCTCTCCCACCCCTCCTACGGTCGGGGACGTTTGCTCAGCGTGTCGCGGGGGCGGCCGCGGCGACACGCCGTGCCCTGCGAGCGGATAGCACGTCGCTCCGCTTCATGGGGTGGGAGGAAAGCTCGGGACGCTGACACGTCGGGGAGCGTGCCAGGCCGACGCGTCGGGGGCCAGAACCAGCGGCGCGACACGCCAAGCAACCATTCCTACCAGATCCCTCCTCCTCTACCCCTTGATCCCTTTGCGCCTTCTCCTCCCTCTCCTCCCTCTCCCTCCGGGCCTCGCTGGCTGTTGCCCTTGATGTTCTCCATCCCCTCGGTCGTTTCTCGTCTACGCAGCCGCTCCTCTACCTGAAGGGCCAGAGGGGGAGTCGCCCCGGGCGGGGCGGGGTGGAAGAGTGGGGGCGAGGGAAGGGGTGCGGGGTGAAGTAGGGAGGAGGAGGAGGCGGAGGAGGAGGAAGAGGAGGAGGAAGAGGAAGAGGAGGAGGAAGAGGAGGAGCGAAAGCAGGAGGAGGACGAGGAAGAGGAAGAGGAATATTGGGAGAAAGAAGAAGATGATGAGGAGGAGGCCGAGGATGAATAAACAGGAGGAGTAGGAGGAGAAGGAAGAGGAGGAGGAGGAGGAGGAGGAGGAGGAAGAGGAGGAGAAAGATGATGATGAGGAGGAGGAGGAAGATGAGGAGGATGCCGAGAAGGGGGGAATAGGGGAGGGGGGAGGATGGGGTCCAGCACAGATCTTTTATACTTTATACATCCACGCGGACGTCCAGCAGTTGATGCTTGTGCGACTGGACTCCAAGCACAAACTAGGAGGCCTGGAAATGGGCACCAACACAAACACAGGGGGTTGCCTCCACGGGAGGAAGATGATCCTGGATTTTGGTGTTGGTGGTAATCTTTCGGCCACCCAGACAGCCCGAAGATTACCACCATCACCGAGATTGGGATCATCTTCCCTCGGTGGAAGCATACCGCCGATTGTGGTGTTGGTGTCAGCCTCTACGGCCTGCGACAAAAGAGGCCCCGCCCCGCCTCGCAGGCCGTGCACACCGCGGCCGCTGGGCCCCAAAGGGGCCGGGTGCTCCCCCGGGACGCCCCGCCTCGCGCCTCCGACGAAAGGGGCGGCCGCCGACCGCGGCCGCGCCAGGCCCCCAGGGGCCTCGCGTGCTCCCCGGGGACTCCGCCCCGCGTGCTCTCGGGTGGGGATCTTAGCTGCCCCGGTACGCAACACGCAGCACGCAGCGTATAGATACGGAGCTGAACACGTAGGCTGAAAACGTAGGTCCGACGCGACACGTTCGCCAAAGCGTGGCCCAATACGCGGGGCCAACACGCAACGTATTGACACGGACGTCTTGAACGCGGGACGTGCTGCGTTTCAAGACGGGCGTATCGAGGCAACTGAGGGTGGGGATCGCTCGGATGTTTCTTCCGCTCTTCGAGAAGCGCGCTCGGGGACTCACCGCGCACGCGCTCTCGCGCGGCCTGCCGCGCGCCGCGGCCCTGGCCGCGCCCGCGCCGTCGCGCGCCGTGCAGATGTCGTACCCCAGCTGCCGAAACCAGCTGCATGCAGCAGATGTCGTACCCCCCCCTTTTCCCTATTCCCCCCTTTCGTTCGGCCTAAGAGATTCTCCTCTTGAGGTGAGAACGGCGATGAGGAGTTCGCGAGATAGCATCGGCGCCGCCGAGCGGACGGCGTCTGGACGAGCTGCGCGCAGCACCTGGAAGGAGCCACAAAAGGCATACACAGCGGGGGCCCGACCACAAGAAGCCTTCCACGAGAAACCCAAACCTGAGACCCCAGGACGCCCACTGACTTTTGGCGCGGGAGCGACGCGCTCTCCATCGCAAAAACCATCGAGGCCCAAGACACCCAGGGCACCGTGGAGGCAAGCAAGGTGTTTCTTGGCATGGGCCTCCACTGCAAGCAAAACCTTTGGGAGCTTCGCGAGTGTTCCTCGGATCGGCCCCGGGGCCCCCCTCCCTGGCGCGCAAGGGGCGGCGCCAGGGGCGGCGCCAGGGGCGACGCCGGCGGCTCCGCCAGGGGGTTCCGGCAACGATCGCAGAAATCCGCGCGGAGCTCCGAAAGTTGCTGTTTGTGCTGCTACTTGTTCCTCTAGAGGAGGAAGGAGCGAAGGGATTTTTCCCAGGTAGAAAATCATGGTCAAGATCAAGCCTGTATGCCCGCGAAGGGGCGGCCGCTTAAGGCACAGGCGGGTGAAAACTAGCAGACGCTCATGTGGTGAAGAAAATCTCCTGTCATATAATGCCAAGAATGTGGGTCTTTGGCCGCTACGCTGGTTGTGCCTGTCATGTAGAAAATCACAACGTTGATAACATCTGGTTGTGCCACTGTCCACATATCCGCCGCCCCGTGCGCAGACAGGCGCACGCCTGCGGGTGGTCACACGTCCAAGAGTTGTACTTCCTGTGATCGGGAGTTACCGGTGCGCCGAGCAAGCCAGACGTCCTGATGTTCGCAGCTCCGTGGGGAGAAGGAGGAGGAGAAGGAGGAGGAGGAGGAGGAGAACGAGGACGAGGAGGAAATGGAGGAAGAGGAGGAGGAGGAGGAGGAAATGATGGAGGAAAAGGAGGAGGAGGAGGAAAAGGGGGGGGGGAGGAGGGAAGCTCGGCGCGCGAGCGAGCGCCATACGGGATCCTACCCCTCCCAATTGCGCTGACATGTCTCTGTCCACCGACGGGTGCCCTAGCGAGCCTGGATCCCACAGATGACCCCATCCAGCGACGTGCAATATGAAAGGGGAGATGTGTATATTGGAAGAGGTGCGGACGAGTATGATGTGCGATACGCAGCAAAAGGAAAAAGAAAGAATATGAGGAAACATGATGAGCCGCAGCAGCATGAGCCACAGCAGGAGGAGGGGGAGGAGCGGAAGGACCTTGGGAATGCGGAGAACGGCAAAGAAGGGGGGAGACGACGACAAGGAAGGAATCAGGTTCAGAAAAATGACCGCGCTGGTGTGAACACTGGGAGCACAGCGCCGATCCTGAGATGAGGTCAACTTTGCAGCGGAAAGCAACATTGAAAACAGAGATCGTTAGCTTGGAAGCAGATCCATCTGAAATGTATGTTAGCCAACGTTGGCCCCCAATCGGAAAAATGCAGACAGGATGTGCCAGCAATGCGGTGCAAGCAATGTGGTGCAAGCTAGGTGGTGCAGCATTGAAAGCTAGAGATGGCAACGAAGCGGCAACGGGCTGGCGGCGACGTGGCGAAACCTCGCCAGATCCAACTAAAGGAATCGGTGGCCCTAATTCGCTAGGCATCGATCTGGCGTGACTAGAAGCGACCGCCGACACGAACGTGTCCTAGGGAAGAGGGAAAAGACATAACAAGGGGAGAGAGCGAGGAAGAGAGGAGGAGACGAGTAGTTACACACGTGAGGCACTGCGCTCCCATCCACCCACGCCCCGCGCTGGGCCGAGATCCTCTCAGAATCCTCTCCCAGCATCGACGAGGCGGCGCGATTCGGCAACGGAGTGGCAACGACCGGCAGCGTGGCGAAACCTCGCCAGACCCACCCAGCGCACGATGCGGCAGCGCGGCGAACCCTCGCTGGGCCCACCCAGGGCGAGGGACTGTGGCGAGGCAGAGGGCGGCACCGTGGCGAAAGCTTGCCCGACCTGGGCGCACCCAACGCACGGGGCGGCAACGAGGCGGCAGCGGGCGGCAACGTGGCAGAAATTTGACAGACCAAACCAGGCGGCAACGAGGCGGCAACGAGTCGGCAATGGGCGGCAAGGAGGCGGAACATCGCTGGACCCATCCAATCCCTTAGGGACACGAGTGCAAACAGTGATTGGGACACGACACGTGTGCTTCCACTGAACTCCTGTATGTGGAAACAGTGCGCGGGACATGCGAGGCCTCGACCGCAGAGGTTCAGGGGGGAGGGATAAGGGAGTCGCATTGATACTTCGCGGTTGTGAAAGAGGGAGGCAGGGGAGAACGAGGGTCGGGGAGGAGGGGAAGGGGCGAAGAGGAGAGAAGAGGAGGAGAGAGGGAGGCGAGGGCGCAACCAGAGGATCAGGAGGATGAGGAGCGAGCGAGCGAGCGAAGGAGAACACCAGGCAGGCGAGGGAGGAGGATGAGGAGGAGGAGCAGGAGGAGGAGGAGGACGAGGAGGAGGAGGAGTGGGAGGGGGAGGAGGGGGAGGAGGTGTACGGACAGTGAGGGGGAGGGAGAGGAGGGCGAGGAGGGCGAGGAGGGCGAGAAGGAGGAGGAGGAGGAGGAGGAGGAGGAGAAGGAGGAGGAGGAGGAGTAGGAGTAGGAGGAGGAGAACCATTGTAAACCCCATTCCAACGCCATGACTGTTGCGTCTTGACGATCCTGAATCGTTTCAGAACGCTATGTTTGGGACTTTATCACCGCGAACCAACGTAACTGTTGCACCCGCATAATTCTGAATCCTTCCAAAACACCATATCTGGTACGTTGGTCATGGGAAGTCGTGAAACTCTTGCACGTTTATGAACGAGAACACACGGCGCAAAAACGAGAACCATAGTTTGAAAAGGAACCGCCCTCAATCCGTGAAACTCTTGTACTTTTCTAAACGAATGTGCGCGGCGCTAAGGCGAGAGCCACGCTTTGAAAACAGGTCGCCCTCAATCCGTGAAACTCTTGCACATGTTCCTAACCAAAATGCGCGGCGCTAAGGCGATAACCACATTTTGACAACGGGTCGCCCTCAATCCGTGAAACTCTTGCACAGTATTAAAACGAATGTGCGCGGCGCTGAGGCGAGAGTCACATTGTGAAAACGGGTCGCTCTCAATCCGTGAAGCTGCTGCACAAGTTCAAAACGAATGTGCGCGGCGCTTAGGCGAGAGCCACTACTTTTTGGGAACCACCCGCCCTACATATGTGAAACTGTTGTCAATATTAAACTTCAGAGTCATACAGTCATACATGGGAGGAAGTCTCAGGCAAAACTCCCGGCCCGCCCTAAAAACTGGCCTCGAGGTGCGACAGGGAGATGTTATTGATTAGGAAAAGGGGTAAAGGAGGTGGAGGAGGAGGAGGAAGATGAGGATGAGGAGGACGAGGAGGAGGAGGAGGAGGAGAAGGATGATCCTCGTCGTCACGTTTTGGGGGGCACCGCCAGGAGACCTCGGGGTCGGCGGCAGCCTCACGCTCTGTGGCAGGGCGGCACGGGAGCGCTGCTGCTTGCCTCCGCGTCCGCTCCCCCCTCGCTATCTGTCTATCCCTCTCCATGCGCCTTTACCTCTTCCGTCTCTCTCTTACGCTACCCTATCTATCCCTCCCCCTCACCCTCTCAGTGACACTCTTCCTTCGCTACCTCCCTTCCTCCCTCTCCCCCCGGCAATTACGCATTATGAATACTTCTGTCCTCTCCCCGGATTCTGTGCAAAAGATCTCTGACCCTCTCCGCGTATTGCTGCTTACACCGGGAATTTCGAAAGTGATTTTCTTGCATGTGTACGATCCGACTTGTTGTGTGCTTCAAAATGGTGCTCCCGCTGCAGCGTGGGCCTCAGATTCGCATCGGCGCTGCGCTCCCGCGTCGTTCAGCATGGCGTTCTCGCCCGAGCGCGGGTCACTTGTCTGGATCTGAGTCCTTTTTCATCGTTGTCGACTCGCTCATTTCACCACCTCCGCCTTCCCGTGGTCCTCCTGCTCCTCCCACTCCTTCCCCTCCAGTTCCTGCTGCTGATATTCGTCATCGTCCTCCTCTTTCCTCATCCTCCTTTTCCTTCTGCTCATCCTTCGGATCACCCACCACCTTCCCTCCTATGTACGCAATTCCAAATTTCCGATTGCGCATAACACGATGGGGTCTTTTTGCAAGTTCCAGGTCGGCTACGACATGCGTCCGCGGTTAGAAAAAAACAGTACAACGGGAAGGGATGGGAGGGATGGCTAGGATGTCGAATATGGCGCGAGCGCACCTTGCTTGACATCTCCCCCATGTCCCTCTTCCCTCACCTCCCTCCCTACCCTCCTCGGCCCCTCTCTCCTATCCACTCCCCACTCTCTCGTCTCTCATCCCTCCTCTCTCCTTACCCTCTCGCCCGCACGTCGCCTCAACGGGCATGGGGTAGCACGTGTCGGGGCTGCGCTTGATCACCCCGGCGCCAGCGAACACAATGTACCTGCTCAGGCGTCGTCGCCGTCTCGAGTCTGTTGATGTGCCGTTCTGGAAATTCTCGCCGCCAAGGCTGGACGCACGTCGACGAGCCGGCCGGGACGGACCCCTGAAGGGCCCAGGGACTGCCTCGGAGGGGGGATCTGCTCGCCGCGCTCCTTCACAGCGGCCGCGATCTGCCCGGTCAGACTCAAGAGCGTCCTCGGACGTGGCATCCAGATGCTGGCCAGACAACTGCCACGAGCGGAGCGCTGGATCTGGCACAGTCATGGTGGAACTGGTCCGGCAGGTTCGTGTCGTGCCGACTTCGGCGCTGGTTTCTGACACCGCGGGGATCGTTCAACCTTGAACGATCGGCCGTTTCCGAAACGTCCAAAGCGTTCCACATCGAACGATTCTAGGTCGCCCGCGGCGTTCAAAATTGAACGCCGCTGGCGGGGTCGCCGCTGGTCAACACGATCCGAACCTACCGTTAGGTCGGGCATGTTTCCCTACAGGCAGATTTTGGACAAACATATTGCTCAAAAAATAACTCCACGAATGATCAAACACGCTCAAAAAATCGTCCCAAAACTATTTTTGGACACGCCCGACTTAAACCTACCTTAATCCTCCCCACCCCACCACCACACGAAAGGAGAGCCATGCCAGAAGAGCAGCGGCTCGATCGGACCGTCTGGCGGGCATGTCAGGCGGCCCAGGCTGCACATGTGCGACTTGGACGGTGTGACCCTTTTCGCGCTGCGGTTTAGATTTGGCATCTGAACGAATTCACTGCAATGCACCACCTCTTCCTCCTCCTCCTCCTCATCCTCCTCCTCCTCACCCTCCTCCTCCTCTTCTTCCTCTTCCTCCTCCTCTTCCTCCTCCTCCTCCTCCCCCTCCTCCTGAAGACAAGGAGGAGGCGGAGAAGGAGGGAAAGGAGGAGGAGGAGGAGGAGGTGGAGGAGGAGGAGGAGACGACCGCAGGGAAGGAGGAGGACGAGGAGGAGCCCAAGACACCTGATTGCTTGACCATGCAAGTCGCGCTCCGATGCAGTGCTTTGGCCGCACGCCTTGTGGCCAGAGCGCGGCCAGTGCCAGAGAACAGTGCTGCACGTGACCAGCGGAAAATGTCCACGCACTGTGCGCCAACGCAGTCTGCCCTCTTCACGGTGGCACCCATCCCGTTCCTCTGGGGGCGCGGTCAAGAGCAGCCCCCGATGCCACAAAGAGCGCGCGGCATGGGAAAGGGAGCCATCCAGAGCGGTCTTCCAGGACAAGTGCTGTGGGAGGGAGGGGGAGCCCCGGGGGCGAAAGAGAGGGACGAAGGAGAGGAGGGACACGACGACGGGAACGATTCGCCAGAATCCTTGTTGAAGGGGCTCCAGGACACACAAACAAAAACACACAAATCCCAAGATTCCTTATATTTTCAAATATTTTCTGGGTTTTCGTCTTCCCCCCCACTTCCCGTATTTCCCCACATTTTCCGGTGAGTCGACGATTCATTGTGTCTGTGTGTTTTTCCCTTCCTGACTTGTGCAAGGGGGGAAACAGGCAAGTCCAGGGACGACGTGCCAGAGGGCTGGCGCTGACTCGTGTGGGTGCCAGCCTACCCATGATGACCTCTCTGGTGCGACACTATGGTATCTCGGGAAAAGACTCCCACAAAGGACGGTGCCGAACCCTCCTCGTCTCTGCCAGCCCCGAGATCCGACGTTGCAACTTGCAACATCGCATGGAATCACGCCCAGAATCCTAAATCCCACATTTCTGCCATATGTTTCAAGCCGGGCCGATCTGTGCAAGCCCTGGGACCCGAAACCAGGCACACACGGCGTGAACAACATACAACGCCCGGACCTGAGGGGAGCTCTTTTCTTCTTGACCATCCCTTCTTCTCTCCCTCTTCCGCGACCAGTGCTTGCGCGGCCGTGCACGGCCGTGCACACGTGGGCGAAGGACTTTGCGCGCAGGTGCGCGAGCGTCGGTTTGCTCGCTTGATGACGCCTTATCCCGGGCACGCCGTGGCAAACGCCTGCCAACGCCTGTCTCGGAGCTGCCCTCCTTCCTTCGACGTCGAACTCACGGGGGAAGTGAGAGGGGGCTTGCTGAAGGATGAGGAGGAGGAGAAGGAGGAGGAGGAGAAGGAGGAGGTGGAGGAGAAGGAGGGGGGGTGTGAGGAGGAGGAGGAGGAGGAGGAGGAGGAGGAGGAGGAGGAGGAGGAGGAGGAGGAGGAGGAGAGGAGGGAGAGGAGGAGGAGGAGGAGGGGAGGAGGAGGAGGAGGAGGGAGGAGGGAGGGGAGGAGGGAGGAGGGAGGAGGAGCCTGCCTGCGCCGTGCTTTTCCCCTCCGCTGCCAGGTGGGCCCTCCTGCCCCCCGACAGCTCCCTCGCGGGCGGGGGGCACAGCGTTGCGAGCACGGCCGTGACGGCCTGCCGATGCCGCCCCTCCTGCTCCACCGTGCCCCTCGGAGCACATGTCGGCGACGAGCGTCCTCCTCCTCCTCCTCCTCTTCCTCCTCCTCCTCCTCCTCCTCTTCCCTGCTCAGCCATGCCCCTCTGAGCAAATGTCGGCGACGAGCGGGTGGAGAAGTCAGGAGGAGAAGGCCTGCTCAGAAGGCGGCGGGGCTTCTGAGAAGCGCTCAGGCCTGCTGAGAAGTTTCCTTGGTGTCTTCGGGGAAGGCTTAGGAGAATGCCAGGGGACTTCCGAGCCTTCTGAAAAGGCCCGCCCCTACTCACTCCCCCCCGGGCTCGGCGCAGAAAATGGTGCACTACATCTGCGGTTCCTCTTCTTCGTCGTCTGAGAATGAGAAGACTTCGATCGGCGCGAACATAAGATGTCGGAGGTCCGCGCGGATGTCTTGGACCGGCGCTGGACCTCCCGCTCCCTGGCGCGCGGAGCGCGCCGTGGGCGGCCCCACCAGGGGGGTACAGCGCCGATCCCAGAGGTCCGCGCGGGCCTCCGCTCCGGAAGTTCTTCGACGTAACCTCCGGCCTCGCCCGCTTCTTCTGACGCCCCCTCGTCCGAGGAGCAGCGCCAGAACGTGGAGCCTGACGATTCCGACCGTAGCTGAGGCACGTCGTCGTGAAACCGTCGCTCCCCCTTCTGTCTCCTCCTCCTCCTCCTTCTCCTGGTGTCTCTTCTTCCTCGTGTCTCTTCTTCCTCCTCCTGCTCCTTCTTCTTGGCGCTTTGGAGCGGTCGGGGGCGACCGCTGCCGCGCTAGGCCGCGGTGGGACCCTACCGGCCGAGGCAGCCATGGCCACAATGGTGTGTCACTACGCCTACAAGGAGGCCACTTTCCTCCCTGTCACCCCGTGGCCAGGACACACCAGGCGGGGCCCCAGCCGCGTGTTGGCAGGAGTGGCGCTCAGCCACCCTTCCAATATAGCCTCCTCCTCTTGTCTCTTCCTCCTCCTGTCTCTTCCTCCTCCTCATCTTCTTCCTGCTCCTCCTCTTCCTCCTCCTCCTCCTCCTCCTCCTCCTCCTCCTGGGGCACGTCACCGAGCCCGCGGGCCACTACGCCGGAAGGCGCGCCGCGAAGCGGGCGGAGAACTGTTCTGGTGCGGCCGGGGGGCGCCGCCAATGCAGATGTGGATGGCTCCTGGCCCCTGTTGGGGCGCTTGGCTCAGTCCGCTCTGATCTGCCTTGTGGTCGTCGGACGCAGCACCGATACTGGCAGTAATTGTTCGAAGGAGCGCCACTTGACATAAGAGCGCCCCTACCTGGCCCGGATCCTTCAAAATCAGTCCCAGGACCCCTGCCGGGGTCCATCCTGACGCGTTTTCCGGAGCGGATCCAGCCGTGGCGACGAGAAGCCTCCAGGAGGCCCTGAAAAGAAGGAAAAACGCCAGGGCGGGCCGCCTTTGTCTCGACTGGCCCTTGTCCGCATGGTTCGCCAACGCTGTCTGCAGCAGCATGTACATGCCGCTGTCTTCGGACGACGACCTCAGTCCCCGGCTCGTTTACAGATCCGAGGCTGGCCACGGCTCGTTTACAAGTCCGCGTACAAATCCTGTTACACCAGAACAGCGAGACCACCACCAGCGCGAGAAACACCCGAGGCACTCCTGGTGGCGTGGCCCCCCTGGCTCCGCTCGAGACATCTCTGGCCTCCGGCTCGGGCAGGCTCGACGTTCCGTTTGCTCATGTCAGGCTGCTGTCTGTCAGTAGAAGCTTAAGGAGGCCCCCTAAGGCCTGTGGCGGTGTGGCGGTGTCTTCCCGAGTGCCCCTCGATCTGGTGATGTGTGAACGAGATGAGCATAGCCACACAATCGTCGACAACGAAATGACGAGATGACACTTGATACACAATCCGCCACCGTGCCGCGATGCACTTGATGTCGAGTCCTCAGGTCCCTTTCGATCTCTATGTACTGTTTGACGAGCTCCAGGTCCCGGATTTCCGAGCGCTCTTGGACGGTCCTGGGCGCTTCTGGGGTTCGCCGCGTGGCCTTTCCCGAGGCCCTGGAAACGCTCTTGGGGTCTCACACTTCCACCATACTTTCACACGCTCCCACGGTCCTATCCCGGATCCGTCTTGGGGGTCTCTTGGCCCGTCTTGGGGTCCTGGGGGCTGGCCCAAGGAGCCAGCAGCATAGAAAAACAATCTCTCCATTCTCGCCCTTTTGGCCGCAAGGGCGTTCAAGATGGCCCGAGAAGCTTCCAGCACCGGCCAAAGAGGGCCCAAGAGCCCCCCATCAGGGGCCAGTGTGGCCCCCAGGACGAGCCCGACAAAGCGCGCCAGAGCCACGCCACTTGAAGCCACCCCGCCAAGAGGGCCTCGAGACACCTGGGAGGTCGGAGAGAGGCCTCCAGGAGGCTCCCGAGAATCCCCGGGGGATCCTCAAGAGACCTCCAAGAGACCCACAGGAAACCCCAAGCGACCTCAAAGAGGCCCCGAAAGATCTTGCTGAGAGGCTCCAAGACAAGATGCCTTTGCGGGGCATCTTGTCCGCGTAACGGGCCGAAGGCCTCTTACTAACACTAGGTGGGGCATGTCCTCCTACAGGCGGATCCTGGACGACAAATAAGGAATATTCCAAAATCAAACGCTCCATTTTCAGAATTGCAAATTGTTTGAACTATTCTTGGATACTCCTCCTGTAGAGGGACACGCGCGACTTAATTATAGCAGTGTTCGACACGCGAAGCCGTGCATGTCCGAGCGAGCGCCAGAGCCTCGGCCCAGATGAGCCCCAGCAGCGTCTTGGTGAGGGTCGTGTCGTCCTGGACCGCTGCCGGTGCAAGAAAACGGGCACGCCCGCGGACAATCTCGATGCACGGCATGGCTTGCGCAATCTGACTCTGCGGTGAGGAGGTCGATAGGTCGATAAGGCTCCTGCCCTCCCCCCCCGCCAAGAGATTGAGCCGGGAACTCCACCGGTCACACGTGCGCCCGCTTCCTGCAGTGCTGAAGTGGACGTTGAGTTCAAAGGTCCGGCAGCGCGCGAATCGATCAATCCTGAGCAATCTCTCCTGTCAGACAGCGGTGAGCGCTACAGCGAAGATCGTTCCGGATTGGCCCGCTGCAGTCGGCGACTCCGAAGGGTGTGGTCTGTAAAGGGTGTGGTTTGTAACTGGCACCCCGGGGGCACTCTGGGGTGCGGGCGAGGACCTCGACAGAGCTCTCCGCCGCGCCCCGAGGAGGTCCGACGAGGACAGTGTCGGCTCCCCAGGCCCCGACGCTACCGATCGCAAACCACACCGCGGCGTAACCATACCGTTTGTATTCGCCGATTCAGGCCGCGCGTGGCTTTACACCGTGAGCGCCCGCGCGTGGCGCTGCCGCCGTGCCGACGCCTGCGCCAACCTGGCTGTACTGTGCCTGCGCTTGCCTGTCTGCGGAGGCTGCTGCTGCGTCACACGCTCCCCCCCCCACCCTGCGGGGGCCCGGTGGTCCTCCGGGCCGGCTTCGGAGATGCGGCTGGAGTTGACGGCATGCGTGATGGACACCAAAACGGCGCTGGCGCCGCGGCTGGGCAGTTAACCCGTCTGCTGTCGTGCTCAGACTGCTGGAGGAGGGGAAGGAGGAGGAGGAGGAGGAGGAGGAGGAGAAGGAGGAGGTGGAGGAGGAGAGAGGAGAAGGAGGAAAAAGGAGGTGGAGGAGGAGGAGGAAGGAGGAGGAGGATGGAGGAGGAGGCGGAGGGAGGAGGGGAGGAGGAGGAGAGGAAGAGGAAGAGGAGGGGGGGGGGAGGAGGAGGAGAAGGAGGAGGAGGAGGAGGAGAGGAAAGGAGGAGGTGGTGGAGGGAGGAGGAGGAAGAAGAGGAGGAGGAAGAGGAGAAGAGGAGGAGGGAGGGCGGAGGAGGAGGAGGAGGAGGAGGAGGAGGAGGAGGTGGAAGAGGAGGAGGAGGAGGAAGAGGAGGTGGAGGAGGAGGAGGAGGAGGAGGAAGAGGAGGAGGAGCAGGAGGAAGAGGAACACCGCAGCCATTTTGGCTCAAGCCATTTCCCCTCTGCCCGGAAGGGGGTCAGGGCTCGAGTGGCGACAGCGCCTGCTTGACATCTCGCCCACACCTGTAACGAATCTTCCTGTTGCGACCTGGGAGGTCGAGGCGAGGGCAAGGGCAAGGGCAAGGGCAAGGGCAAAGGGAATGGCAAGCCGCCGCCCGCGGTCCCCACCTCAGCAAGCGTCCGCAGAGTATGAATGGACTTGCGCCGTGTGCGCAGCGACTACGAATCTCCGACATGCATGGTGCTGGCAGTGTGGAACCCACTGGGAATCCCAGATTGAGGTCGGGCAAAAGCCAATACCACCCAGGAAGGAAGACAAATCAGAGTCTGGTACGTCGTCTTCCAACACAGTGGGCCCTCATATCATCCGTTTGTAGCAAACTCTGGGTATGTTGGTATCACTGGAGACTGATGCAGAGACGGAGGGATCGAAGAGGGGTCACGAGGAGGCCATCGCTTCCCAGGATGTCGTGCTGAGGAATCTTCGTGAAGAGAGAGATTCAGAGAAGTCCGAAAGCCAACTTACACAGATGGCGCTGACAAGGCTGATGAAAGCACAGACCCAATTAGCAAAACAAAAGGATTCCGTGGACAAGCAGGAGCAGGTGCTGGCGGAACTGGAGGTCAAACGTGCGTTGCTCAAGGCAGACCTAGAGGCTGCTCGTGCTCACAAGACAGAATCGGATCTTCGCGTACACCGTTTAATGCGTGAGCCCTTGTCTGATCCATACACGTTGCCGCCAGGACTGGCCCGCCCAGCGTAGGAGCAGCAGCAGGGGGAGCTCGGGGAGGCCTTCAGCAACGCGATCAAGGGCAAGGGCAAGGGCCAGGTCGATGCGGCCACATTCCCCCAGGGCATGCCTACTTTCGCTCAGTTTTGACAGCCTCAGCTTTCGGAGGGACTTCATGCGCAGATGAGTGCGTTTGCAGCGCAAGTTCGCACAGCAGGTGGCCTCGAGGAGGTCCAGCACAGACATGAGCGAGCAGATGGGGAGTTGGCCGAACATGGCGCTGAGGCTCCACAAGCTAAAGCAGCCGCAGCAGACGCGCCTATGCCTCCCGCGCCGCTGGCAGAGCGCCGAGCAGCCGGGGTCGAAGTCAGGCGAGGCGGCGGCTGGGGCTGAGCGACCAGCACGGTCGCGAGGGTAACATTCAAAGTAAAGCCACATCGGGCGGACTGCAGATCCTCGCGATCAATGGGAATTGTTGGTCTACTGCAGTTTCGTTTATCTAAGAGTGTGAGGCTCATATCGTACTCGTTCAAAAACATAAGTTCCATGGTCAAGGTCCCAGCGAGGCCAGGGAAAGCGCGCGCAAACTTGGATGGAAGAGACTCTGGGCACCGCGCTGCGTTGCACGGAGCTGCGGGGGGGGGGGGGGGGGGGGTCGGCAAGAGTTTGCGCACTGGCAAGGGCGAACCTCGACCTATGGCAACAGCCAGGACGAGAAGCCCCGCTGGCGCCACACAGACTTTTACATGTTGTTTCCGCTGAAAGGCGCTGGGCATTGTCTCTATCTATGGTGGGCATTGGAAGAACGGGCAGGGGCTCGGACAGACCCACCTACACATTGCCAGCGTCTTGGGAGAAGACATCTTACACAACGACGTGCCATCCATAGCGGGCGGAGATCTGAACTTGGAACCGCACGTGTTTCAGGGAGGATTTACGCCACGCAAGCTCAAAGGACAATTGGTGATGCCGTCTCCGACGGTAACATGCGTTGCACCAAATCCAGGTACCTGGTTTGCTTGCTTTCTTGTTGGCAAGACCCTCTTGCTCTGCGTGGCTTCTGCGATCGCAGAGATGGGCGGACATATTTTCCCACGTCGTCCAATCTTTTTAACGTTGAAGAAGGGTCTTGACAAGATTACGGTGAAATGGCTTCGCCGATATTCGCGACTGCCCGTCGACTTACCGATAGGACCTGCTCCTGAGGCCCCTGATCACGACGACCTTGGAGAGCGCGTGGCTGCACTCTTGGAGCCCCTGGAGGCGGAGAAGGGGGTTGCCGACTCCCGACTGGCCCTGAGAAGGCCGTACTCCAGATGGACCTGGATGAGGTCTACGTGGAATGGTGTGGGTGAGCTTGGAAGGAACTCGAGGGTACCCTGCAGCGTTTCCCAGGAGGGCTCCGCGGCGGTTCACAACCGCATACTGAAGATATTCCTCCTGGGAACCTGCCATGCTCTAGAAGGTCACCAACAAGGAGCCCCCATCGAGCACTCCATTGGTTAGCCCGTCGAGTAAATGAACTTTATTCTTTGGTTCATAGCTGTAAGTACCTTGCTTATCCAGAAGATTTCAGACAACACAATAATTCTACCTATGCGTCTACGATGTCTGGAGGGATATTCAATTGCCACTATCCTGGTGGGAAGCCTCTCTGGCCCGGTTTCCTCCAGGCTGCCCTTGTGCCTCTCCACTGCGACGGCTTCATTTGGCAAGCAGAGCAGGTCGCAGAATCACTTTTCTCTTTATATCAGTTTGCCAAGGTCAACGCAGAGGCCTGCCTACCCAGAGAGCGCAAAGATTGGGCCCAGAAGTGGAAGGACTGGTGCGCGGAGGCGCTCGCGGGCGGGGCCAAGCGGGCCCGCGCCTACGCCATGGCGGCAGATTCAAGGCGCCAGGACATTGTTGGCGCAGATTGCGGCAGCAGCACCTCATGCCTGACAGCCCAGATGAAGGAGGAGGAGATGCCATGGTCAAAAGCGCGGGGGGTGGGGAGGGACGTGATGATTGTCAGATTCTTGATTCGCCTGAAGACATGGTCTCCCCGAAGGCCCCTGGCGTGGATGATTGCGCATGTCTGAGGGGCCAGCACTAGCTCGAGGCCAGAAACGAACCACACGCGACGCCCACACTCGCCGAACACACTCGCGCCCACTCCATGCAGACACTCGCACTCCATACTCGCCGCTCGCACTCGCGCCCACACTCCCGCTGTCTACACGCACGCGCACTCTCGCACCCCGCGCTGCACGCCCACACTCAAACCCCACACTCACACCCCACTCTACGCCCCCCCCCGCCCCCCCCCCCCCTCCCCCCACCCCCCCACCCCACCCCGCCCCCCCACCCCGCCCCCACGCGCGCACACGCACACGCGCACACACGCACGCACACGCACGCACACACACAAACACACACACACACACACGCACACACACACACGCACACACACACACGCAGAAACACACCCACACACACACACGCACACACACACACACACCACACTCTACGCCCACAGTCCACGCACACACTCGCACCCCACACTCAGACCCCACACCAAACCCCGAAGAGATTTACCGACTTGATCAAACGAGTTGGTTCCCCGAATTGATTTACAGAGTTAATTTGCCGGGTTGGTTGACAGGAGTTGATTGGCCGACTTGGTCTCCCCAATTGATTGCCCGAGTGTGTCTCCCGAGTTGGTTTGCAAACTTACGGAGTTGATTTGCAGAGTTGATTTGCCGAGTTGATTCACAGAGTTGGTTTACAGAATTGATTTGTCGGGTTGATTTCCCGAGTTCATGCGTGGAGTTGGCTTGCGCGGAGCGCTGAGCTGGCGAGGTGAATTGGCGTTGACTTCTTGGGCTTTGACGTGCCATTCCAACTGCGAAGTGCGAGTTGGTCCCCCGAGTTCATTTCCAGAGTTGATTCCCCAGGTTGATTCCCCGACTTGGTTTGCCGAGTTGATTTCCCGAGTTGGTTTGCCGAGTGGATTTATAGAGCTGGTTTAGAGAGTTGGTTTAGGGAGCTGATTTCGCGTGACGGCCCGCCGATTTGGGCTCGCAAGTTGATGTGCCAAATTGATGTGCCGCCTTGGCTTCGCGATTGGGGGCGCCGAGTGGATTTCGCGAGTAGGTTGCCCGAGCTGATTCCTCGAGTGCGAAATGCGAATTGACCGTGGGGCGTGGGGGGGGGGGCGCCCCCGACACAGTGCGCCGAGTTGACCCGCGCCTCGCGTTCACGTCGCGTGGGCGCAAGGGGCGGGGGGCGATTGCGGGCGCGAGCGCGGGGCGCGAGTGCGATGTGCGAGTGTGCAGTGCGAGTTTGGGCGCCGAGTGCGAGGGGCGGCCGCGCGCCCCGAAATGGCCGCTAGCTAGAGAGGCGAGCAAGAGCTTTAAAAGGGCCACTATTGCCGCAGATGGCTCGCACCCTCGCCACTATCATCTACTTCGTCGGCCCGCTGTGGGCCTGCTCGGTCAGGCTATGTGTCTTATGACGGTGGTAGGAGCAGCCCCGACCTGGATGCGCACTCTCCGGATAGCTCTTTCCAGAAAGCCAGTGGTGGGTCGCCGACCCATTGGGTTTTCCCACTCGCTTATCACGATGACTTCGAGGTGGCATTCCAGGGACTGCAGAAAGTGGTGGAAGCGCGTCCAGGACAGAAGCATATTCTCCATGGCGCCGTCTAGGAGTCCTGCAGACACAGTTTGGCGCCAGATAGTGCGCGGACATCTAGCCGTAGGAGACAAGAGGAAACATGCATTGTCGCTTGTGGGTGATCTCA